GGTACCCTGACGGCATTCCTCTGGCTTTTCATCTTGTATAACTGACAGGGTAGTAGAGTAACTTAAATAAATATTCATTGATTTATATATAATTTCATTCTAAGTTTATTTTATATAAATATATATATATATATATATATATATATAAATATCAAAATACAGTTCGAATTAAATTACATATATATTAGAATTAAATTACATATATATATATATATATATATATATATATGTAATTTAATTCTAACTGTATTTTGATATTTATATAAAATAAACTTAGAAGGAAATTATATATAAATCAATGAATATATAAATAAAGAAAAATAATACGAAATATACATATGTCCATATATATAATTACATAAATAATTTCATAAATATACACGTAGACTTCAAATATACAAATATGTATATATATTTATCTTCTACGTGCATATTTATGTAATATTTTTACGTAATTAAGTAATTTTATTGATTGCAATTTAGATATATATATATATATATATATATATATAGATAGATAATTTAAAAAAAATATTATTTTTTATTTATTTTGAATTAATTATTATTATTTTTTAATTATAATATATATACAATATATGTAGTTATTATATATATACATGTGTAATTTTACTCTTTGTGTATTTTTATATTAATATATGTATATATTAATAAAAAATACACTTAGTCTGATGTTATATATAAGATATATATATATATATATATTTATTTATTTATTATTTTTTAAATGTATTAACTTTATTTTATTTATTTATTTATTTATTTTTTTGCAGTGCATGCGATGAGTACAAACATGCCTGAGGTACCCTGACGGCATTCCTCTGGCTTTTCATCTTGTATAACTGACAGGGTAGTAGAGTAACTTGCACTATTTTATAATATAGAAAACATGCTTTAAATCACATTTTGTTAGATACATGTTCAGAGTATATCATTCAAGCTTTGTTTGTAGGGTTAGTCTAAACATGGTAGTAGATGTAGATTTAAGTAGGCTGATTAGTGTTTCCCCCCCCCAGTTAAGGAGGGTATTACCCAGGTTAAATACAAGATTGTGAGATTTAACTAGCCTCCTGCATGGTTGCTCAATAGTAGGTTCACAAGCATAATACATTTGAATTATCATAGCGTAGTGTGAATATATAGCGTGAATGGCTCTCAGGATGAGCTGGCTACAGTGTGTCCAGTGGTGTGGTGGTGTAAGCCCCTGGGTTACTCTAATGTGTCGTGAGGTGTGTATGTGGATAGGTAGGAACAAGTAATTAGTACATTGGTTATGGTGTAACATGCCGTCAGGTTAAATTCAATTGGATTAGTAGCCTCCTTAGCTCTGATCCAGGAGTGCAGCACATGGAGATATGTACCAAATATTGCGGGTGCCGCACCATGTGTAATATGGTGATTTCAGCCGATGCCACGGCTCAGTGCTCTGGGACAGTCTCTAGGTTTCAGTTTGCTGGTGTGGTTTACCTTCTGGTCTCAGGAGCCTGCTTCTGGATAGTGGTGGGGAGTGCTGTGCGATGGGTGCTGTCTTGGCTCCCTCAGCAACGCCCGGTCCCAGCGTGGGGTAGAGTGTCTATTCCGTAGGCTCTTTGGCCCTTGCCTAGGTGATAGGCTGGATCTTGCAGGGTCTCTGTTGCAATGGGATACCACTTTTAGCTGGGTCCTTTGCGCTGGGCTGAGGCCTCTTATGTGGCCTCGTCTCTTTCGGTGACATTTTTGGACTCTGGCTGCTGGAGAGAGTGTGCGCCCTTGTCGAATGCTTACCAGCCCCGCCCTGGGAATGTGGTTATTAGGTTTTTTTTATCTGGGCTTGCTACTCCCTAAATGCCATCTTCTCCCAGAATTTTGCAAATAGCATGTCGAGTTTGGCGAGGAGGTCAGGCCTCTCTGTGTGTCAGACACGTGTAGCGGAGGCCATTTTGCCAGAGTTCGCCTCTTCCCGCCGTTGATGGGGATCTATCTTGGGGCTTTAGCAGGTAGGTATTCCGTTAGGCTTTGACTGGGGTAACCCTCACCGGTCCGGCGGTGGGGGGGGGTTATGGGTGTTTGTGTAACTGCCCTTCCGATGCAGGGCCAGGGAGAGCGGCCGCCTCCCCCCAGTCCCCTCACCTCTAGGCCGCGTCTGACCAGCTCAGGCTCCCAGTCTCCAAGGGGCTTAAGGTATCAGGCTTGTCACCAGGTCGCATATAGCTCAGTTAGCGTTTCCCGGTTTTGGTTTGCTACTCGGATTTGGCAATTATTGGCAGTTTTATGGCTCGTTAGACAGGAGCCCTGCTTGCATGCGACCACTTGGCTCACTGGCTTCTATTAACTTTATTTTAAAACTTTTTTTCAACAACAGGAGGACTGCCTGTCAGTTCAGGCAGTCCCCCTGAAGACAACACTATGGACGCCAATTGCGGCCATGTGACCGCTCTTTCAGAGCGATCACATGGCCCATGGGGTCCTATTTAGCCAAAGGGGGACTATCTGGGCTGTCAGACAGTCCCTTCAGACGGAGAAGAAGACCGATCGCCAGCAGGGGAACGTCGACGATCGGGTAAGTGAATGTGAATTTTCTGTTTCTTTTTAGATCATTTTATTCTTCACTGAGTACCTCGACCCCTCGAGGCACTCAGCACACAGGCAGAGCAGCGGAAGCCTGACTGATGACTTCCGATGCTCTGCCTCACCGCCGGGCGCCACGTGGAGCAACCCGGAAGTGATCGCTCCAACACTCAAATGTGCCGCGGACGTACAGGGTACGTCAGTGGTCGTTAACAAGCGTTTTTGTCTGACGTACCCTGTACAATGCTGCCACTTTAACCACAGTGATATGTCTTGTCTATGTGTATTTTGAGAAATGATCATTGTTATTTTAAGGTCCTAAAAAGATGGATTAAGGTCTGTCTATAACCTCACTTTTTTTCCATAATTATAATTTTTTCCACAATTGTCTGTTGTTTTTATCCTCTCTTCTTAATTGCATTTCATTTTCAGTAACCTTCCCTGCCTCCCCTCGGAAAACTATCTAAATTTAAGCATTACCTTGCAGTTTCAATGTCAAGCCTTTCATTTCTGTACATAAACTCATCCAGATCACTTCTGTTCACATATGGCATTCAAAAGAACAGATGATCCTGTTTGGAAGGACACAAAACCAGATAAAGAAGATTCCATGTAGCATCATGAAGGTGTTATCTATCTTAATGAAAAGGTCCTTTTTCACATATTCTTCTGATTATCAAAATTCCACGAACCATTGTGAAATATTTTTTTATTCTTTCTCAGTCTTTGGTATTCTTAATGCTACTTGTTTACATCATGTACCCTATGCCTGTTCTATTGTTTCATAATATGTCTTTACTGTCTTCTTTATCCTCTGCCCTGTCTGACAGAAAGTTGATCGCTGCTCCCAGTGTACAGCTTCATGTCAAACTGGGTAGTGGATAAATAATATCCTCTACCTCGGTCGGCAATGCCACGCTACGTGGAGTAACTGGAAGTAGGGGGAGCACTTTTGTGCTCTCCTGCAGGTCACCCGGGACATTGTGCTCTCCAGACTGGTGCACCCTAAGGTGGCTGCATGTGCCGCCTTATGGTAGTTGCAGTCCTGAAAAAATATACCAGGGTATGACTTTAAAATCTTTAATTAGGGAATGACTAAGTGCAATAATTTTGGAATAAATTAAGTCCAGGAAGTGACCCCATAAAAAACATTAAGTATTTTTTTCATGACCCAGGCCTGTTAATATGCCATCAACTCATCCTTCTTGAAACCTTTGAACCCATTATCTAACATTTTCAAGGAACATTGCACCATTTTAAAACTATACATCTTTGACACAGTAGACCATGGCATTCTTTTGCAAAAACTTAAAAACTCAGGCATTGGTGATCGTTAGACAGGAGCCCTGCTTGCAACCTGGTTTCGACCGTATGTTTCAGACCGATTGCAATATGTGGCCATTTCTGATCCCGCTTCCATCCCTCTTCTAGTCACGTGTAGTGTTCCCCAAGGCTCAATACTCGGCCCCCGCTACTCACATTATTTATAAATGATCTTCCTAACGTCTGCAAATCCTCAACTGTACACATGTATGTAGACGACACTGTAATCTACGCTAGTAAACCCAAGTTACCGCAGCTTGAGGCTGCCCTCCAAATCCAATTCAAAGAGGTAGAAAAGTGGATAGCGGATAACAAACTCTTCCTAAACACTGACAAAACTGTTACAATGATCTTTGGAACTGTACCTAAATTACGTAAACTACAAAATCAACAATGGTGTATCAGAACAAATTCAAAAAGCACACTGTCAGTAGTCTGCTTTTTAAAATATCTAGGTATGTTGCCGACCCCAATCTATCTTTTGGCCTTCACATTGAAAAAATCTCTTCAAAACTTTACCCAAAACTAGGTACCCTGTACAGAAACAAATCCTGCCTAAGCCCTACATAAGAAAACAGATAGTGCAACAAATGCTAATGCCGGTCATTAATTATGAGGATGTAGTGTATGCACCTGCACCGCAAACCCACCTTAATAAACTTAATACGTTATATAATTTGTTCTGCCGCTTTGTACTAGAATGAAATTACTTTACCCACCACTGTGACATGTTAAAAAAACTAAACTGGCTATCACTAGAATCCCGGCGCACTAGTCATCTTTGCAGCCTTGTGCATAAGAGCATTTCTGGGAAGCTCCCACCCTACAGTGGCATACATACCAGGGTCCGGCCGCCCTGCGACCCAGTATGTATGCCACTGTGGCCAGCCTCTTCTCCTGGGGGGCGCACAAGGGAGCACTCTCCCTTGCTGAGTGCTTCCTCTTCAGCTCCCTCATGCACTACACTGATACCAGAGCCGGAAGATGACGTCATCTTCCGGCTCCGGCATCAGTACGCGGCGCGCGAGGGAGCTGAAGAGGAAGCACTCAGCAAGGGAGAGTGCTCCCTCGCGCGCCCGCCAGCCTGCCTGCCCTCCGGGTGACCGGCCGCCCAGGAGCACCACTGGACCCCAGGGAATCCCTCAGCTCTCCCTAAGGTAGGGAGGCTGGGGGATGACATTTAATAAAAAAAAAAACATGTGTGTTAGAGTGTGTGTGTTAGTGTGTGTGTTAGTGTTAGAGTGTGTGTATTAGTGTTAGAGTGTTAGTGTTAGAGTGTGAGTGTGTGTTAGTATGTGTGTGTTAGTGTGTGTTAGTATGTGTGTGTTAGAATGTGTGTGTTAGTGTTAGAGTGTGTCAGTGAGTGTGTTACTTTGTGTGTCTGTTACTGAGTGTGTTAGTTTGTGTGCGTCAGTGAGTGTGTGTTTTGTGAGTGTCTGTCAGTGAGTGTGTATGTGTGTCTGTTAGCTAGTGTGTATGCGTCTGTTCGTGAGAGTGTGTGTGTGTCTTAAGCACTTACCTTTCTGCAGCGATCTCTCCGCCCCAATCCGCTTCTCAGCTCCGAATGTTCATGCGTGGCAAGAGACGCGCGTGCATTCAAACCGCCCATAGGAAAGCATTACTCAATGCTTTCCTATGGATGTTCACTTTGATTTTCACAGTGAGAATCATGGAAGCTCCGCTAGCGGCTGTCAATGAGACAGCCACTAGAGGCTGGATTAACCCTCAGTGAAACTGCTATGTTTTCAGCTACAGGGTTAAAACTAGAGGGACCTGGCTCCCATACCACTTCATTGAGCTGATGTGATCTGGGTGTCTGTAGTGGTCCTTTAAGTGTGTTTGTATCTGCAGGCACTGGCGTATAGACCGTGGTCGCAGGGGTCGCAACCTTGTGACCCCTGCTACCAGGTGCCCGCCACCATGTGTTGCGGCCCCAGCCCGCGCAAAGTAAGCGCGCGGGGGGGCCCACGGATCAGTTTTCGCACCAGGGCCCCATGGGTTGTGTGTACGCCACTGCCACCCTACCTGAGTAGAATGCTCTCCCCATCTCCTATAGCCTCCGATCCAGTACTAGCACGATATTTAGCATACCACAATACAAAAATAAAGTGGCTCGATCCTCCTTTTCCTACTGAGCACCGCAATTATTGAATAACCTCAGGGACACAGTCAAATCTTCATTCAATCTAAAATCTTTTAAGAGATCTATGGCAATATGCCTCAGCACAGAATGCACCTGTCATGGTTGGATATATTTATTACCTGTTATGTATTAAATTTATATATGTGTGTATATATATATATGTATAGTTTGTATATTGTATTTTTGTAATATTGTATCCTATTGTAACAATGCAATGTTTTGTGGACAAAGACCCAGAACATACTTAAAAACGAGAGAAATCTCAATGTATCTATCCTGGTAAAATATATTTTAAATAAATAAATATCTAAACTTTTGTGGGGTTTTGCATTTCTAATGTGAAGGGATCAAAGAATTTACAGCAAAAAAATTGATTTTTATTTGCGCCATGTGTTGTTGGAGTTAGTCAAAGGAGAGCATGTGATAGGGATACATTTAAAAGCAATGACCTAAAACTTTATATGTTATGAGAAACCATTATTGCCACTATTACAAGCTTCAATCAATTGCCTTTGCTTTCCACAATGTATCTTCTGTTTCCATGAAATCTCTAAAATACTGAATAAAACAACAAAATTGGAAAAAGGAAATAACTGAGACAAACTTAGATTAGTAGTTTTCTGTTTGCTTTATTTTACTTTAACGCTCTTGGTCTATATAGTGACATAGAGAGCAAACTTTATTTTCAAAATATATGGCTCACAGAACAGACAAAATTTAGGAATATTTATGGTACAGATAAACGTTCTCTGTAATGAAATAAGTGCCCATCCATTGTGGTTTAGGCTTGTCAGTAAATAATAAAACACTTAGCTAAACATAATTTCTATGATGTTTGGAGAGTGCACCATCCTCAAGACAGAGATTTCACTTTTTATTCCAATTCACATAAATCCTATTCTAGAATAGATTTCTTCATAATGTACGCATATTCTTGGACTGCTTTAACCATTCTAAAATAGGGAACATCTCATGGTGTGACTGTGCCCCTGTTCAAATTATTTTAAAAGATAATCCCCAATATAAAACACAAAAAACTGGAGATTAAATGACTATATAATTCAGAAGAAGAAAACAAAAAAGATCTAATAAATTGTGCAAAGAATTTTATAGAACAAAATGATAATGGTAAGGTATCTGATACCACCTTATGGTGTTCTATCAAAAGCTTCCTAATAGGTAGCCGATAGAAACATAGAAACATAAAATGTGACGGCAGATAAGAACCATTTGGCCCATCTAGTCTGCCCAATTTTCTAAATACTTTCATTAGTCCCTAGCCTTATCTTATAGTTAGGATAGCCTTATGCCTATCCCACGCATGCTTAAACTCCTTTACTGTGTTAACCTCTACCACTTCAGCTGGAAGGCTATTCCATGCATCCACTACCCTCTCAGTAAAGTAATACTTCCTGATATTATTTTTAAACCTTTGTCCCTCTAATTTAAGACTATGTCCTCTTGTTGTGGTAGTTTTTCTTCTTTTAAATATAGTCTCCTCCTTTACTGTGTTGATTCCCTTTATATATTTAAATGTTTCTATCATATCCCCCCTGTCTTGTCTTTCCTCCAAGCTATACATGTTAAGATCCTTTAACCTTTCCTGGTAAGTTTTATCCCACAATCCATGAACCAGTTTAGTAGCCCTTCTCTGAACCCTCTCTAAGGTATCAATATCCTTCTTAAGATACGGTCTCCAGTACTGTGTACTGTGGGGATATTTATGGGATGATAATTTTAAGCAGTCGAGAATTGCCCAGTATTTAAATTCTCTTAGCTCTTAGAGATCGTTTATCATGTAAGTGAAAAGTATTCCATACAATTAATGATCACAATGTGTTGTAAAAATAGATTTGTTTATTGTAACAATTAATTAACAATAATATTAGGCAGCATGTATGATAATAATCAGTGAATATTTAGTATAACATAATATGCAATACAATGGAATGGCTAACACGTTTCAATGGCTAAACAGCATTTTCTGTCAAGACTTACACGATTTATGAGGGTATCCTCACAGACAGAAAGTGAAGCTTTTCACAGCGAAGGGCCATAAAACCCTGGCTAACAGATAGATCAACTGAATAACCCTTTCAAAGCTGGCTAGATCCTCCTAGGCATATAGTATCCTATTCTCCTGTGATTTTCAATTAAAATACATTTAAACCAGCTCATTAGTCATTTCCTGGAACCATCCAATAAGAATAATCTACCAGATTTTTATGCAGAATTTTAATTTGTCTAAAAAGATATCTTATCTTATATTAGAGCAAATCAATACACCTGGATAAAAACAGCGGTATGCTAACACGTGATACTATCACATTAATATATATTCTTAATTCCACCTGCAGAATGTAATGTTTATAACTATATATTCTTTAGTTAACTAAGATTTCTTAAATATGGAAATCTGACCGTGATTTATCCAGTCATATATCATGCTATTAGTAAATTTTAATTCATTTAAATTAATTAAATAAAACCAGCATAATTACCAATTATGTAGATATTCTCATCAGATGAATAGGTAGTCCCAGAAACTTGATTGGTTGTATGGAAGTGCGTGAGTGATAGAAAAAGTATTAAAGAGTTTTAGAGTTTATGTCCAAGAGAGTTTAAGGGTAGAGTGTTAGTCCCAGATATTGTCCTGGATTTCTCTGCATGTCCGACTTGGATGCCCAAACTTCAATTCATCTCTCTCTGTCTCCAACTCCAACCACCTGTCTTCCCTTTGTCCTAACTTTTAAAGGGCCAGACTCTCTGTATGTCATTAGTTGATAACCCAATAGGAAGCCGTAGGTGTGTCCAATGTATGGGTCGCAATTTAGGTATTTGATCTATAGATGGCAGTCCCGTCTAACGAAACCTTCCTATCCAGGAAAGAGTTAACTTTTCCTGATCACTATTTTGACATCATTTGGCTTATCTAAAATGACTACCATAACTTAGATTTGCTGTCAGTTCAAAGCGTTTATCCCAGTCTTTGTGGCAGCTACTTTGATCGTAACTTGTAAAATTGACAGTTCTAAACTCAATTTCACCCCTTACTACAATGGTACCTTGTGAAATTTAGAAAGTAAAATTAATTACTTGGTCTTCTCTGTCATAAGTGTCTGTGTTTAGATAATTGCATCTATTAACATTTTAGACAGAGCGTTCCATCCCCCTTGCTTCATTGCTTATCTTGGTTTGTTTATGTAATACATTCCTCAGCTCAAGCAAGTGGCTAGTAACAGAAGTAAGAAGAAATCAAGGAAATTATGTGTTTTTGTTATCCTGAAGATAGCAAAATGGAGTCCGCTTTGTTCTGAGTGGCTGTGGCAATATACACAATATGCACAAAATGTCTGTTGATATAAATATTCTGACAGTACAATACTCCAAGTGAGGTCTCACCAGTGTTCTGTACAATGGCATGAGCACTTCCCTCTTTCTACTGCTAATACCTCTCCCTATACAACCAAACATTCTGCTAGCATTTCCTGCTGCTCTATTACATTGTCTGCCTACCTTTAAGTCATCAGAAATAATCATCCCTAAATCCCTTTCCTCAGATGTTGAGGTTAGGACTCTATCAAATATTATGTACTCTGCCCTTGGGTTTTTACTTCCAAGATGCATTATCTTGCACTTATCCACATTAGATGTCAGTTGCCACAACTCTGACTACCTAAATCATTTGCCATTTGGCTTATCCCTCCTGGAACATCAACCCTGTTACATATCTTAGTATCATCACCATCAAGACCTTCTGCAATATCACTAATAAAAATATTAAAGAGAATGGGTCCAAGTACAGATTCCTGAGGTACCCCACTGGTGACAAGCCCAAGCTTCGAATATACTCCATTGACTACAACCTTCTGCTGCCTGTCACTCAGCCACTGCCTTACCCATTCAGCAATATTAGAATCCAAACTTAAAGATTGCAGCTTATTGATATGCCTTCTATGTGCAACAGTGTCAAAAGCCTTACTGAAATCTAGGTAAGCAATGTCTACTGCACCACCCTGATCTATAATTTTAGTTACCCAATCAAAAAAATCAATAAGATTAGTTTGGGATGATCTGTTCAACAATCCTATCCTTTAACATGGTTTCCATCACTTTCCCCACTACTGAAGTAAGGCTTACTGGCCTATAGTTGCCCAACTCCTCCCTATTACCTTTCTTGTGAATGGGCACAACATTCACTAACTTCCAATCTTCTGGGACTACTCCTGTTAACGATGATTGGTTAAATAAATCTGTTAATGGTTTTGCTAGTACTCCACTAAGCTCTTTTAATAGCTTTGGGTGTATTCCATCAGGTCCCATTGACTTATTTGTCTTTACTTTTGACAGTTGAAATAGAATCTCTTCCTCAGTAAACTCACGTGTAATAAATGACTCATTTATCTTTTTTCTCATCTGTAAATACAGAACAAAATATTCATTGAGGCAGTCAGCTAGACTTTTATCATCTTCTACATACCTTCCTTCTTTTGTTTTTAATCTAACTAATCCTTGTTTTACTTTTCTTTTCTCATTTATGTATCTAAAAAATGTTTTGTCCCCCTTTTTTACTGACTGTGCTATTTTCTCTTCTGTGTGTGATTTGGAAGCTCTTATAACTTGTTTAGCCTCTTTCTGCCTAATCTTATAGATCATTTTGTCTTCCTCACTCTGAGTTTTTTTATAATTCCTAAATGCTAACTTTTTGTTTTTAACTATTTTGGCCACATCTGCGGAGTACCACAGTGGTTTCTTGAATTTTTTGCTTTTACTGACAAGCCTAATGCAATTCTCTGTTGCCTTCAATAGTGCAACTTTTAAATAATCCCATTTCTCTTGGACTCCATTTAAATTGCTCCAGTCTGATAATGACTCCTCTACACATATTCTAATTTTAGAAAAGTCTGTTTTTCTAAAGTCTAAAACTTTTGTTTTTGTGTGGTGTGACTCAGTCACTGTTCTTATATTAAACCACACTGACTGATGATCACTGGATCCTAAACTTTCACCTACAGTAATATCTGATACCAAATCCATTTGTTAACACTAAATCTAGTATGGCCTCTTTACGAGTTGGCTCCTCAACAACTTGTTTTAGAGACAATCCCAGTAGGGAGTTTAGAATATGTGTGCTCCTGGCACAAGTAGCTAATTTTGTTTTCCAATTTACATCAGGAAGATTAAAGTCACCCATGATGATAACTTCCCCCTTCATTGTCATTTTAGCTTTTTCCTCAACTAGTAGATTATCTAACTCTTCAATTTGTCCTGGAGGCCTATAAATCACACCTACACGAGTTACTGTGTGATTACCAAATTCTAACGTAACCCAAACGGACTCTATGTTTGACTCACTAACTTTTATTAGGCTAGATTTTATGCTATCCTTCACATACAGGGCCACCCCTCCCCCTTTCTTGCCTTCCCTATCTTTTCTATATAAAGAGTAACCTGGTATTGCTATGTCCCAGTCATTTTTCTCATTATACCATGTCTCAGTAACAGCGACTAAATCTACACTATCAGTTGACATTATTGCCACAAGTTCATGGATCTTATTCCCTAAACTGCGAGCATTTGTAGACATTACTCTAAGCTTATCATTTTTTAACACACTTTCTACAGGCACCTTCTGTCCTTGTTTTGGGGGACAGTTGGATTGATGTTTTATCACCCTTTTGCCCCCCCCCTAGTTTAAATACATCCTAGCAAAACCTCTGAACTGCTCACTGAGAACATCTGTTCCCTTTTGAGAAAGATGCAAACCATCTTTTTTGTACAGCTTATCTCCATTCCAAACAAAGCTACCATGAGAAATAAAGCCAAATCCTTGCTCCCGACACCATTCACCAAGCCACAAATTAAAGTCCCTAATACGCATCTGCCTGTCGTTCTGAGTGTTATGCACATGCAGAACTTCAGAGAATGACAGTGTGGAAGCAACGTGCCGTATATAATTGGCAAAAACACTAAAAACTTCCTTAACCTCTGAAACCTCATTGCAAGCCAAGTCATTTGTCCCTAGATGGACAAGTACATCCAACTCTCCTTCCTGCTTTGCTTGCTTAACAATATTACAGATACGTCTCCTGTCTCTGTGAGCAGTAGCTCCGGGAAGACACCTCACAAGACCACCATTGTCCATCTCCACACCTCTTATAATGGAATCCCCCAACAACAACAACTGGTTTCTATTAGGCCTCACCATAGTCTCCAAGCCGGTCTCCACAACACCACTAGCCTCAGTGCCTCTCTCCACAACACCACTAGCCGCAGATGTAACATTATGGCTTCAGATTAAATTATATGTTTATGCTATAAAACAGTTTGGTCGTAGCATCATATAAAACTATAAACTTTGCATATAAAAACTATGAGCTTTGCAGACATGTAACCTCAATGAGTGAAGTCTACGCTAATATGAGTAGTTAAACTGGATAGGCACAGAGTCACATATGCTTTAATTACGGTAGAGAGTCTCACTGTTATCTGCTGGCTCTGGGGTATTAAAGGACCACTCTAGGCACCCACCCCACTTCAGCTTAATGAAGTGGTCTGGGTGCCAGGTCCAGCTAGGGTTAACCCATTGATAATGCTTTCCTATGCGACCGGCTGAATGCACGTGCAGCTCTTGCCGCGCGTGCGCATTCAGCCGACGGGGAGGATCGGAGGAGGAGAGCTCACTGCCCAGCGCTGGAAAAAGGTAAGTTTTTCCCGCTTTCCCCCTTCCAGAGCCGGGCGGGAGGGAGACCCTGAGGGTGGGGGCACCCTCAGGGCACTATAGTGCCAGGAAAACGAGTATGTTTTCCTGGCACTATAGTGGTCCTTTAACTGTTTGTCTGAGAAGCGTGGCAGCGGTTAATGGTCGTGACTGGCAGCAGTACATCAGTCCTGAACTTAGATTGGGACATTCACCCCACCCCGGTATTCGGAAACATGTAAGTGTAGGCCAGAATGAGGTTGTCGGTGGGGAATGCCACAGGGAGGAAAGGTTTGCGCGGATGATTCAAGCTGCCTTGCAGATCTATGGCTGTGTCTCCGTGCCAGTCCCTCCTCTTGTTGCGCCCCCATGGGCCGGGTGCTTTAGCTCTGCGGCGGTTTGTTGGGTGCTCTTGGGATCCCTCTGTCAAAAGGCATATTTTGAACCTTAGTGTGGGATCATTTTTCTGCTAGCTTGTACCAAGTGTAGTGATGTGTTTTTTCTGCCTTTTTGACACACAAAGTGAGTTTGCACAGTATATTTTGCAAACCTTATGTGTGCTACGACTGTATAATACGACTATTGCTCAGCTATGTCGTCTGAGTACAGCAATACCCCCGTTTGTACCTTTGCCAGGTATATGTGGATGTTGAAGGGGCACATTTGAGACGCAGCCATTCAGTTTTTTTCTAACTTTGAAGTTTTACGCTATGTGCAGGTTTTTTATTTTTGAATAGTTTAGATGGTTGGTTATTGAAACTTTCCCACAAACACATACTATTTCTTAAAGAATACACCTTGGGGTAATTCAAAAGGCGTATTTTGAACCTTAGCGTGGGATCATTTCTTCTCTAGTTTGTTCCAGGTGTAGTGGTAATGAGCATTTTTAAATGTATTTTTTTACTTTTTAAAACTAGTTTTTAAACTTTTTTTTGCTTATTAATTTTTTAAACTTTCCTAAACTTTCTTAAAGCTTTATTTTTTTTTTTACAGATTTAACATTTTTATAAGCTTTTTTTTTTTTTACTGTTAACCCCTAACTAGCAGTAAGCAGCACTAACAGTAAATTCCCCACTTTCCCATAACTCCCACCCACCCCAGCTAGCAAAATATATAATTATAAAATATTTAAACTAATTAAATAAATTGAGCCCCTGAGGGTTAAAAAATAAAAGTTAATCCTCAGGGGTTAAAAAAAAAATTAGATCACAGTATAATACTGTGATCTGTATTTTGATCACTGTAGGCAGTGATCGACTGGCAGGGAAGAGGTTAATTTTTATTTGGACTGGGTAAAGGGTTTTTTTGTTTTTGTTACTTAAACGTTATTAAAACTTTTTAAAAACTTTTTAAAGCTTATTTTAAAACTTTTTTTAACGTTAACCCCGAGTTAGCCTAATACCAAATGCCCCAATTCCCCACTAACTTCCACCCACCCCAGCTAGCTAAATATATAATTTTAAAATATTTCAATTAATTAATAAAATTAATTTATCCCCTGAGGGTTAAAAAAATAATTAACCCTCAGAGGTTAAAAACAAAAAAACAGATGACAGTAACATGTAATCCCTGCCAATTGATCACTGTAGTCAGTGATCAATTGGCAGGGAAGGGGTTAATTTTTATTTAAAATGGGTAAAAGGGGGTGGGATTTTAATTAAACATTATTTATTTATTTTTTTAACAGGGAAGCAGATCATCACTGATCCATCTCCCTGCACTTCGCAGAACCCGGAAGTGCAGGGAGGCGGATGGTAAGTCCCTGCAGCACATGCGCTTGCTCTAATACAGAGGCAGACAGGAGCATCGTTAACCCCGCGATCGCGGTGATCTGGGGTCAATTTTAACCCATGACGGACCTGGTCCGTCACTCGTCATTAAGGGGTTAATAGGCCAATACATAACCAATTAGCAGCAGGAAGGGCAAAATTAGGTTGTAGCGGTAAGCCCGCCTAGGAGCATATGAAGTATATGGTCTAGTGAAGCTGTGTGTCAACTGTCAAGGAAGGCTGCTAATTGCAGTTCATGAGTAGCAGGATGGCCATGTAAGCGTAGTATGAGAATTAGTGGATGTATGAAATGATAGGACATAGGTCAAATAATGGTTATTGAGCTGTAGAGCAGTTGCAATTCACACGTAGTGAAGCAAAATGGCAGACCTTCTCCACACCATAGCGTGTATATAACTTGAGCTGTACCATACCCGTTACTGAACATTAAACATAGAGTCGAGGTTGGGCTCTAAAGACTGTAAGTTAACTTGCGCACTTCATTGTAGCCGTTTTCTATCCACTGTTTTTTGAGTGAGCATATATTTTTATAAAAATATATATATATTTTTAACTTTTTTGCATGAAAAGGTTATTCCTTTTTTTTTATAAAAATGTTATTTACATACTTGTTTTGTTAGCTTTTAAATTGCGTTTAATGAATGTTAAAAATATTTAAGTAGACCACTTGAACATGGTAGCACGGCTTCGATTTGCAAAGTTGCATCTGGACAAACCACAAGACTTCTGGAACAATGTCACAACACCTCATACCAACTGTCAAGCACTGTGGTAAAAGGTGATATTTTGGGATTTTTTTGCCACCACAGGACCTGTGAACACTGGCGTACATAACAGGGTCGTAGGGGTCGTGGCTGCGAAGTCATATTCCGGCTCCGGTATCATTGCCCAGCAGCACCACTGGACCCCAGGGAATCCCCTCAGCTCTCCCAAAGGTAAGGAGCCTGGGGGATTAAATTACAAAAAAAAAAAGTGTTTGTGTATGTGTGTTAGTGTTAGAGTGTGTGTCTGCTAGTGAGTGTCAGTGAGTGTCAATGTGTGTGTCAGTGAGTGTGTTACTGTGTGTGTCTGTTAGGGAGTCTGTTTGATGTCTGTTAGTGAGTGTGTGTTTGTCAGGGAGAGTATATGTTTTGTGAGCGTGTATGTGTGTCTATCAGTGAGTATGTATGTCGCTGAGTGTTTCTCTGTCAGCTAGTGTGTATGTGTCTGTTCGTGAGAGTGTGTGTGTGTGTTTAAAACCCCTTCAGCACTTACCTTTCTCCAGCGCCAGACTCCCTTGGCGCTGGGGATCCCTCCGCCCTGTACCACCTCTCAGCTCTGAATGCGCATGCGCGGCAACAGCCACGCACGCATTCAAACAGCCCATTGGAAAGCATTACTCAATGCTTTCCTATGGACATCCAGCGTCTTCTCACTGTGATTTTCACAGTGGGAAATGCGGAAGCGCCTCTAGCAGCGGTCAGTGAGACAGCCACTAGAGGCTGGATTAACCCTCAGTGAAACATAGCAGTTTCTCTTAAGCTGCTATGTTTTCAGCTGCAGGGTTAAAACTAGAGGGACCTGGCACCCAGACCACTTCATTGAGCTTTTGTGATCTGGGTGTCTGTAGTGGTCCTTTAAGTGTGTGCATCCGCATGCACTGGAGTACATACCGCGGTCGCAACCCTGCGACCAGGTGCCTACCACCATGTGTTGCGGCCCCGGCCCGCGCAGAGTAAGCGCGGGGGGGGGGCGGCCCACGGATTAATTTTCGCACCGGGGCCCCATGGGTCGTGTGTACGCCACTGCCTGGGGACCTTGCAGTCACTGAGTTGACTATGAACACCTACCTCTGTATACCAAAGTATTCTAGAGTAAAATGTGAGGCCATCTGTCCGACAGCTTAAACTTGGCAGAAATTAGGTAATGCAACAGGACAAGGATCCCAAGCACACCAGAAAATCTACAACAGAAAGACTGGAAAATAAAAGGAGTTGCAATGGCCAAGTCAAAGTCCAGACCTCAACCTGATTGAAATGGGGTGTGACGGGACCTTAAGCGACCTGTGCATAAACAAATGCCATCAAACCTCAATGAACTGATGCAACGTTGTAAAGAAGAGTGGGCCAAAATTCCTCCACAATGGTGTAAGAGACTGATAAAATTATACAGAAAACGATTACTTCAATTTATTGCTGCTAAAGGTGGTTCTACCAGCTATTGAATCATAATGTGCACTTCATTTTTTACATATGGTTTGTCACCGTCTAGATGTTGTTCATCTTAAATTGTACTAATTTTAAAGACCTACTAAGGAACAGATTATGGTTATGTCCGGATATGTAAAACTATATAAATCAAAGAGTTACATAGCTGAAAAGAGACCTGCGTCCATCAAGTTCAGCCTCACATTTGTTTTTGCTGTTGATCCAAAGTCAAAAAACAAAAACAAACAGTCTCAAGCGCTCCCAATGTGTAACAAACTAGCAAAAAATATTCCTTCTTGACCCCAGAATGGCAATCCAGTCTCCTTGGATCGATAAACTATTACCCCACTAATTAAAAATATCCCTGTATATTATGTTTTTTGAAGTATTTACCCAATTGCTATGTAAACATCTGTATAGACTCTCATAAAACCACCTCTATGGGCAGAAAATTTCCCATCCTTATTGTTCTTACTGTAATAAACCCTTTCCTTTCTTTTGCCTAGACTAAATCTCCTTTATTCCAGTCTAAATGCATGATCTCGTGTCCTATGTTTAGTCCGATTTATGAATAGATTGCCAGATGATGGTTTGTATTGGCCCCCGAATATATTTGCATAATGTTATCTAAGGTGCAGTTTTTCCAAACTAAATAGATTTAAAATTGTTGACCTCTCTTCATAACTAAAATGCTCCATTCTTTTGATCAAATGTGTAGCCTGCCTCTGCACGGTTTCTAGTGCCATAATATCCTGTTTTAGACCAAGTGCCCAAAATGGCAAAGCATATTCAATGTGTGGAGAACCAGTGATTTATAAAGAGGCAAAACTATATTTTCATCCCGAGAATGAATGCCTATTTATACATGACAAAACCTTACT